CAGAATTCCCCAGCCAGCATTCGCTGGCTGGGGAATTCTGGGAGTTGAAGTCCAGACATCTTCAAGTTGCCAAGGTTGAGAAACACTGAGCTAAGCCACCCAGTTTTCTTGGAATTGGCCTGCCAGCCCCGTGCCACGGACAAGCAGATAATCCTCTGGTGGCTCCCATTTAATTTCATTATTCCACGAGGAAACTCTCTGTATATTAACAGCATTGTCACCTTCAGGCCTAGACTATTAAGGGGGGGCGACAAAGAATCTTTTGTGCTAACTTGCAGCCCTGCAGGACAATGGGTGGACCTCCCCCCCCATCTCCATTTCCATCGTCTCCATCACCTCCCTCCATCTTCATCTCCATCTCCATCATCTCCATCTCTACCATCTCATCTTCATTCCTATCCCCATGCCCCTCCATCATCCTCTCCATCTCAATATTCTCCGTCATAATACCTCTCCATCTTCATTTCCATCATCTCCATCTCTACCATCTCATCTTCATTCCTATCCCCATGCCCCTCCATCATCCTCTCCATCTCAATATTCTCCGTCATAATACCTCTCCATCTTCATTTCCATCATCTCCATCCATCTTTATCTCCATCTCCACCCTCTCATCTTCATCTCTGCAGCCACTCATCAAAAGGCAATGTGGGCTTTCTTTTCTTCCTCAACACATTTTGTTTCCCCAAAAGAAGGAAGGTGGGAGAATTGCGAGGAAAGATTATGCAAAGTCCCGGGAAGGGGGAGGGATTTCCACCCAAGAGCCTGGAAGCCCCCCAAGGCTGGGCCTGGGCCTGTTCCCAGGAGCATTGCCAAGCACTGAGCACCCAGCTGCCCCTTCATAGCAGCCACTGACCAGATGCAGCTGGGTTCATACAAGACGCTCAACCCTGAATGCAGGTTAACAAAAGGCCGCGTGACAGGCTCGGCCCAGAGAGTTTGGGGGCTCCACGCTGTGCAAGGGCTCCATGTTTTATTCATTGAATTGGCTGGCAGGTATCTTGCCCTCTTTTCCATCCAGCCCTCCCACCTCCCACATTTGGCCCACGGCAGTAGAGGAAGTCCGGGGCTTCGATTTGCCCAGGGAGGTTCCCGAGGCCGAGAGAGGATCTGAACCTGGATCCCCAGGGATCAGCGCAAAATCCTCACCACCACGCCATATCCTGGACTCAGCCATTGGCTCAGCGAAACCAAGGTTGAAACGTTGCATGTCTCAATTGGCTGCTATTGTTTCTCTCCTTTTTGGTAGCAAATTTCTTGCTCTGTTGGCGAGCCATTAGGACGGAGCAAAGTAGGAGAAAGATTAATAATTAAATAATAATGAAAGAAACGGAGAGTTGGGCAGAGGCTGGCACTTTGCACACAAAGCTATCCCTCGTCCTTCGCAAACTGCAGCGGAAGAGCCCGGATTGTCCCCCTCCACCCTCAATGGCTTTGCAGAGACACAGGACGCAAACCAGCCATTCTCAGGCTACCTTCCCTGTCAACTGGATCCACTTTTCCACCTCTCTCCACGTAAATCCAGTTGCATGGGAAAAAGGACAGGTGTTTCCACACTAAGCCAGAGACCCACTTTTTGGAAGCTGAACTCAGTTCTTGGCTGTTGGGGTTGGAGCCCCCCCCCCATTTTGTTCCTCCAGCCTGGGGGGTGGGAGCAGGAGAGAATGCCCGCTCACAAGCCTTCTGGGAGTCTTCAATGGGCCCTTTAATGGGCACAGGCAGCTGACCTCTCTCATAGCTCACCTTGTCAAGCCTTTGCCTTGCTGGTGCAGGAAAGAACTCCCTCCCCCCCCCCTTGAAGAAGGGGGTGAGATTTAAACTGGGTGCTTTCACAAAAGCCTGCTTGTAAGCAAGGCCAAAGCGCCTGTCTTCATGGCTTCCTTTCTTGCACTCAAGTTAAGTCTCACACCCCCTCCCTCCCTCCCTCCCTCCCCCCCTTCTCTGGATCCCTTCAACATCTGGAGAAAGCCAATTGGGAAACAGGACTTGGTTCCCCAGGAGTGACCCCCATGAATCACACTGGAGTGGGGGAGAGACACGTTTAGTTACAGCCATGTATGGAAAAAGGGCAAGCAGAACCGAATGTCGCTTATCCAAGAGACCCCCGATTTCTCCTCACTGGCTCAGACCACAAGACATTTGCAAAGCTGAGATTCTCTTTCATTTGTTTGCAAAGGCCGGGAAGAAGGAGGGCTGTTTTCTGCCATTCCCCAAAACTCTCAAGGCAGGTAAATGGAGCGGGGGCCCAAAGGAAGCCATGCTGCCTGCCTGCCTGCCAGAGAAGGCCCTTCCCCCAAAGCCCCACCGCCAGGCCCCTTGGGGAACAATGGGCCAGAGAAGCCTCTTTGTTGCCTGGAGGCAGCGGGAGACCCTTTCAGAAGCAGCCAAGGAGATGCTCGGCCTTGTCAGGGCTTCTCTGCTTTGGGGGGTCGTGCAAAATACCCCCCCCTCATTCCAGGGAAAATGAAAAAAAGAAGAAGCTACGAGGACCCAGTCAGGCTAAGAAGGCAGCCCAGGCGTATTTATGTGAGTTGCAAAGGGTTGCAGAGGGATTTCTGTGCCCCCCCCCACCAAAGAATCCACTCTTTCCTGCCAGCCCCACTGCCTGCCATGTGGGTCACAAAGAGCCCCTTTGGGTCAGCAGGTGAGCCTGCCTGCGGAAAAGAAGCCTCTTTTGTAGCCACGCACACAATCCCACTTGGGAGGGGGCTTCAAAGGCCGCTTCCTTTTGGAAAATGCCGTGGAAGTAAGGCGAGCGGGGACCCTTCCAGCCCCTCACAAGAACCCAGCCTAATTAAACAAAGAGCAGAGCGGCTTCCGCTGCAATGCACCTTCCCAGGGCTCTGCCTGCACCACTGCCGTGGCGGTGGAGGGCTTGGGCAGGGGGGGATTTGGGTTGGTGGGCCAGCCTGGACAGCGGGGAAAACAAGGGGAGGGGGAGGAGGCGCCTGAGCTCGGGTGCACAAACACACACACACACACCCCGGACAGAGCAGAATGTCCTGGGCTCTTCTCTGTACCTTCTCTTTCTTTTGCAGAGCCTGTGAATGAACCCTGAGTGGTTTTAGGGCACAGGCAGATCTTTTTTAACCCCCCCCCCACTTTCTGAAGGATTTATAACCAGATTTGCCGGGAGGCCTGAGAAAGGTGCTCCTGGGAGGGGGCAGGAAGGCTCCTCTCTGCTGCGGGAGCACAGCTGGTGGGCCTCAAAGCCTCCGTACCCACCGACGCTTCCATTGTTCTAACCGGGGCTTCTGGATCCCAACTTCACCTAAGTTCCGTTCCCACCACAGCGAGACCCCCATCCTGAACCCCAGTTCCTCCCTTCTGCCCGGAGCCCCAGCGAAGACCCTCCCCCCTTTCTTCCTGGCGCCCATCAATATGGAGCTGCAACCTCTTTCCAAGCCCTTCCTGGCCTCGCTTGGGGGTGGGGGGGGTCATCTTTCTTTTCCACAGCCGTTCCACGGGACTCCAGCAGCGGCCGGCATTCTTTCCTGGAGGGT